CTCTATAAAAGCTCTTTCATGCTTCTTTTATGTCAGATAATTTACCCCATTCTACCTCTCCTTTTCCCCTTCTCCCAGTGCATTACTCTTTCTTACCCCTTACTTTTATTTTTTTAGATAATTATCCATCACATTCAACTCATACCTGTGCACTCTGTCTATGTATACCACTTCTAACTGCCCTAATACTGAGAAAGTTTTTAGAAGTTACAAGTATCCTTTTCTCATGTAGGAATGCAAATAGTTTAACCTTATTGAATCTCTCATGATTTCTCTTTCCTGTTTATGTTTTTATGCTTCTCTTGAGTCTCATATTTGAAAGTCAGATTTGCTATTTGGTTCTGGTCTTTTCAATAGAAATTCTTGAAAGTCCTCTGTTTCACTAAATTTCCACTTTTCCCCCTATACTCAGTTCTGCTGGGTAGGTGATTCTTGGTTGTAATCCTAGCTCTTCTGTCCTCTAGAATATCATATTCCAAGTCCTCCAATCATTTAATGTAGAAGCTGCCAAATCTTGTGTGATTCTGACTTGAATTGTTTCTATCTGACTGCTTGCAATATTTTCTCCTTAACCTGGGAGCTCTGGAATTTGGCTATAATATTCCTGGGAGTTTTCATTTTGGGATCTCTTGCAGGAGGTGATTGGTGGATTCTTTCAATTTCTATTTTGCCATCTGGTTCTAGGATATCAGGGCAATTGTTCTTGATAATTTATTGAAAGACGATGGCTAGCCTCCTGGCTTTCAGGTAGTCCAATGATTCTTAAATTTTCTCTCCTGGATCTATTTTCCAGATCAGTTGTTTTTCCAATGAGATATTTCACATTTTCTTCTATTTTTTCATTCTTTTGATTTTGTTTTATTGTTTCTTGATTGCTTATAAAGTCATTAGCTTCCATTTGCTCAATTCTAATTTTTAAGAAATTGTGTTGTTCAGTGAGCTTTTGTACCTCCTTTTCCATTTGGCCAGTTCTACTTTTTAAGGAGTTTTTTTTTCCTTCAGTGAATTTTTGTGCCTCTTTTCCCATTTGACCAATTCTTCTTTTTAAAGCTTTCTTCTCCCCATTGGCTTTTTGGACCTGTTTTACCATGTGGCCTAGTCTGGTTTTTAAGGTGTTATTTCTTCAGGTTTTTTTTTTTTGTGCCTCCTTTACCAAGCTGTTGACTCTTTTTTCATGATTTTCTTGCATCACTCTCATTTCTCTTCCTAGTTTTTCCCTCTACCTGTCTTACTTGATTTTTAAAATGCTTTTTGAGTTCTTCCATGGTCTGGGGCCAATTCATATTTTCCTTTGAGGTTTCAGATGTAGAAGTTTTAACTTTATTGTCTTCTGCCTTTGTGTTTTGATCTTCCCTGTCACCATAGTACCTATCTATAGTCAGGGTGTTTTCCTGATGTTTGCTCATTTTCCGGCCTATTTCTTGATTTTTAACTCTTTGCCAAAGTGGGGCTCTGTTTCTGGAGTGGAGGGGACACTGTCCCAAGCTTCAGGTTTTTGTGCAGCTGTTTTCAGAGATAATTCTGGGGACCTGAAAGTTTTCTGTTCTTCCAAGGTGCTATGATCTAAGGAGAGGAGTGTTTACTACTCTCTTGTACTATGTACTGGCCTGTGACCAACCACAAGCACTCTTTTCTGCCCTGGAACTGTGACCAGGGTCCCAGATCCCCTGGGGCCACAAGTTCTGTGCTAGTGCTCCTCTTCTCCCTGGGACTGAGACCCAGGACCGATCCAGATCCAAATGTGGGAAATGCAACAGAGTCCTGCTCCTGGTGCCAACCAAGGGATCCCTGTAGTCTCCTTCTGATCACTTGCCTGACCCCCTTACACTCTGGGGGCTGAGAGGTCTGGAAACCACCACTGATTCAGTAGCCCCCAGTGCAGACTCCACTCCACCCTCACCTTAATGAGACAGACCTTTACTGCCAACCTTCTAAATTGTCTTGGGCTGGAAAATTGTTTTACCCCATCTTTTGTGAGTTCTAGTGCTCCAGAATTTGTTTTGAGGTGTTATTCAAAGTTTTTTAGAGGGATTTTGGAGAGAGCTCACGTAAGTCTCTCTGCCTTTTCTCTGCCATCTTGGCTTCTCTCCCCTTATGATTTTTTACCTGAGAAAATGCTTCTGTATTTCCATTTTTATCCTGCATATTTCCAAGGAACATGTATACAGAAGGAGAATGGTGAATTTGCTCCCTATCTGGAAATGATTCATTGCCTATCAACCATTAACTTCTCTATTATGGAAATCCAAGTAAATAAATGATCCCACAGGAAATGATGTTGTCAATATAGACCACCACGTGAAGAGAAAAGGCACCAGAAGAGCTTGTGATGGGGGCTTTGGCAGCTCTCCTTCTGCCCAAAGCAGAGCAGCTTGTAATGGCGGGCCTCCCCTTAGTATGAATTCATTCTTCAAAAGTTGAAGTAACCAGAAAAGGGGAGAAATTCTACTCTCACATTGATTCTCACCAATGGGAAAAACTGGTTTCAGGCGTGAAAATGGTGGGAGCCCCCTGGGAAACCTTGTCTGGGGTCAGAGACACATAAAGAGGGGAGGTCTGACCCTCATCTGCTGTGCACCCTAGAGTTAGAGAAAACACTTCTCAAGGAGTTGGAAGACTCATGATAAAGTGCTGCTGAGGACATCAGCCCAGGAGGGATGGGAGATGCCCAGGAATGGAATTCCAAAGACACAAAGAGAAGTCAGATTTGTCTGGAGATACTTATGTGGGTATAGAGGGAACTCACACCCCGCCCCCAGGCAGATTGTAAAAGGATGCATACCACAGGCGGAAGCCAGCTAACAGGTGATGGATAAAGTGAGTGTTGTCTGAGGAGTGGGGAGAAATGGTTTCATTTGTGGTAGGGAGGAACTGAAAATTAGTGAGAAAACAGAAATGATAGAGTAGGGCATATACTGGAGAGGCAGATGGGATAGCATGGGATCCCTTCAGTATATTTGCCTTAGCAAGCAGGAGGGTCCCCTCTTCATGAGACAGAGATAAAGGAGGAAAGGAAGGCATATGATTTACTGAGATGTGGAGGAGGTAAGAGAGCTCTGGGTAAACGTCCCATTGTTTCACTGAAATATGAGGCCAAGTTCTCAGCCGAGAGGGTGGGGGGGAGCAAGCCCTGTGGGAGGGTTGGGGAGGAATGAAAGATTTGGAAAAGCTGCTGCGGTGAGCAGGAATGGGAGTCAGTCAGGGGGATATCAAGGCTTGCCTTGCATGGTCAGGACCCAGCTGAGGTGATGTTACCTAAATCTGCAGCGGACCCAGGCAACCCGGTTTCGTGGTTTTCTCTCTTCTCATTCAGCAGCACATGAGCAGAACTAATGGCCAGTGTCCTCCCTGAAGTAATGCAAGGCAGAGGCTTGCGTAAGTCACCAGCCCAAGTTTCACTGCGTGCACTTTTGGGGCGCACATCAATCAGTGCTGCTGGCCTTTCCTCTTCTTCCTTTGTTTTCTTTGGGATGGCTTCCAGAAGGGGGGGGTGGCAAAGAGGAGGGGTCTGGCAGTAATGCACATTGAGGGGCCTAAAGGAAGTTCAGATCAAGACCAGGGAAACCAGACAGATGGTGACTCCAACAACAGGAATGCAGACTGTTGAAAAAGGGAAACCGAGGCTGTGCACCTCTGGTGCCCATGCCTGGCTGAGAAGGGGAGGGGAGAAAAGAGCGGTTAGACCGGGGCGATGCAGAAACATCTGAGATGTGGGTGATGATGTTGATGAGAGCTAATGTTTAGGGAGCACCCACTGTGGCTCCCGGGGGGCTGGCATGGGAGGGACGGGACAGGTTCCCCGGCTCAAACGCATCTGTGCTGGGCTTGAAGGAAGGCATCGGACTGGGCAGAGATGGAGGCAGAAAGGGCATTACAGGAACCTGGAATAAGGTGGACAGAGGGAGTGGGAGGGAGGAGGAAGCGTTTATGCAGTACCTACTGCCTGCCGAAGCTAAACACTTTACAATTATCATCTCATTGGATCCTCGCAGCCACCCTGGGAGGGTCGTACTGTTATGATCTCCACTTTACAGTTGAGGAAACTGAGGCAGACAGAGGTGAAGTTACTTTCCCAGAGTCACACATCTAGGTAGTGTTTGAGGCTGGATTTGAACTCAGGTCTTCTTCTAGTGCACCACAAGCTGCCCCTAATGATGCCAACAGAATTAAGAGTCCAGAAAGGCTGAAATACGACTCATCTGGAGGAGGGTAGGAAGGTGAGCCTCGATTGGAGGGAGACTCAAATGCTGGGCTTGGGCCCCCAGGCCTGTCCCAGAGCTGAGCTGGCTCCATTCAAGAGGGCCCAGAGGGGCAAAAGCCCATGACCCCTGACATCCAGCCAGGGTTCAAATCCTGCCGCTAACATTTATGACTTGGGTGACCTTGGGCAAGTCCCTTCACTTCTCTGGGGCTCAGTTTCCCTGTCTGTAAAATGAGGGGGCCAGGCTTGATGACCTCTGGGGTCCCTGCCAGCTCTAGATGTGATTCTAGGACTGCCCCATGGGTGGACTTAGTTCCTTCTGACCCACACTGCTCCCTCCTGGCCACCACTGACCCCCAACCTCCAGATCGGAAGAGACAGTTAAATTGGGGTCAGTAAGTCTGGGGTCCAGACTGCAGGGAGGGCAAGGACACCTGCCTGGTGGGGTGAGGGACACAAGGATTGGGAGAATCAAGAAGGATGTAGAGTCTAGATGTCCTAGTTTGGAAGAAGATGAATGTAGCAGGGAGAGAGCTGGAAGAAGGCCAGGAGATTCTGCTTAGAAAGAGGAGGATCTGAGCCCCAGACCAGGGTAAGGGAAGGAGGGAGACTGTGGGAAGAGGACTCTCACAGATCAGCCTGGGGGGTGGAGGCCCAGGTGCAATTTGAGTCCTAGAGTGGAGTTTGGAGAACTGGGAGGAGTCTGGAGTGGAAGAGGGTTATCCCACTGGCCGAGGCATTCCATGTGATGGAGGGCAGGGCTTGGGGAGGGGTGGCAGGCAGGGTCTGAGGACCTGACCCTAGGAGCCACTGGAGGAAAGGGACTGGGGAGGGGGTGGGCTGACTGGAAGCAGGAGCCCTTGGAACTGAGATCAAGCTGCCTTCTTTGGAGCTGTGATTACTCTGCCTTTCCTTGCAGCTGAGATCGCTCTGCCTTCCGGAAGCCAGCTCTGTGCATGCAGTTCCCAGGTAGGTCTGAGCCAGGAAGCCATGCGTCGCTCGGCTTCTGGCTGTGTTTTCCTTCGGGTCTCATTCTCCCTGTCTGACCTCATTCTGAGCGTCCTCCAGGCCACGAGGGGCCCTCCTCCCTCCCACGGCTGGCTCCCTGGGCGGCTCCCCAGCCCTGTCCCTTGGCCAGGCTCCTCATCACATCCCAAACGTCACGGGGTGCCATCCACAGCTTTACCATTGGGTCACACTTGCTAACCTTCAGACTTCCTTAATGGAGACCCAAGATTACTGTCTTCTGCCTCTCCATCGGGACCCATGTGTCCTGTTCCCCTGCCCCCAGCTCCTGTTCAGAGATTCGGCTGTCTTACCAGCAGCCTTGGCTCTTTATAAGGACCCAGGAGTCCTGCCTCCTTGCCCCCAGGACCTACCTAGGACCCAGGACCCAAAGCTCCTGCCCGGCCTCCCTTACCTGGACCTGTGGCTCTCCAGCCAGCTCCCCATCAGATCCCAGGCATTGCTTCCCTGTCTCCAGTTCCCCTCCAGGGAAGCAGCCTCCAAGCCTAAGCTCCAAAGAGGGCCCAGGAGCCCTCCCCAGCTCCTAGGTAGACCCAGGACACAGTCATTCTTCTTTCCCAGACTCAGCTGCCTCCTGGAACCCTTCTGTCACTGAGATGTCCCCTCTCCTTTCCCCCAGCTTTGGTACAGTGTCCTGCCTCCCAGAGCCTTCCTTAGCCTGGCCTCCTTCCCTGCCCACACGTTTTTCAGAGCCTCAGGCCCCCTGCCAGGCAACGGAATCCCAGACAGGGTTGTGTCTCCCACCTCAGGCTGGCCCTGGTCATTCCTGGCAGCTCCAGAGCCCTCCCGTTCCCAACCTTCCCTCCCTCCTAGCTCAAGCAGTCAGTCTATTGTCTAGGTTCTGTGTGGATGAGTTAGAGAAAGGGGAGGCAGGGAAGACAGAGGACCAGCTGTAGGGAGAGCTCTGACTCAGGGGCCATTGAGGCCCTGCCTGGTCTCTTCCCACCTGGGATACCAAAGCCCCTTCTGCCTCCTGGGTCTCTGTAGGAGGAGGGGGCAGGAGAGAATAAGTAAGATGGGGAGGGGAGTAGCCTTCCTGTTCTGACCATCTTCATTTCCAGGCCTCACTCTGCCTGCTTTCTCCCTCTGCAGGTTGGGGTCTCTGCCCTCAGGGCAGGGCAGGGTCTTTGTGACTCCTGTGCAACCCCACTCCCTGTAAATACCTGGCCTCCTGCCAGGGAAGAGAAAGGAAAGAGCTCTGCCCCTCTGGGATCCTTCTCCTCCTCAGCTCAGCCTGCAGAAGACCAAGGCCTGACCCAGCAGGGAGCCTGGAACCTGAGGGAATGGCCCCTGGGAGCCGCAGACCCCCAGCCCAGGTGAGTGCACTCTGCCCTCAGACTTGGCCATTTCCACAGACCCAGAGGCTTGTCTACGCAGCTGGCCATCCCTACCTATGGACCGTTTCTTTACAAAAATAGGCAGGAAACTGCCCTGCGCCCTCCTGTGTTTTGAACTGATTCATTGGCACTTTGGCATCGTGTGCACTAAGTACCCCTTTCCCCCACGTTCCCCCCCTCCCAGGTGCTGTCCTCCCTGTTCGCCTTCTTCATCTCTGACTCACAACGATGACCACTTCACTCGGTAGTTTCTGTTCTGTAGGCATCATGTCTTTGCTCTCTTCTTCCATGCCTACCACCCCCCTCCACCATTTAACTCCCCCAACCTCTGTTTCTTGTGGCTAAGCTCTCTCTTCTAGGAATAGAAGCTCCAGGGCCCTTTTCCCGGGAGGCTTGTCTGGGCAGGCCTGGAGCAGAGCCCTGACGGCTCCCCCAGCTCTTGTCCTCTGCAGTGCTGTCGGCAGAGCAGAAATGGTCCTGCTGGTTCTGCTCATGTCCTCCTACCTCAGCTCACACATGTCTTCCCAGATCTCTCTGAATCATACTCATTTACCAGCTCTTAGGTGAAGTCCACAAGCATTTAGAAAGGGTAGAGACCCTGTGCTAACCTACTGGGGATACAGAGGAAGGAAAACCAGTCCCTGCCCTCAGGGAGCCCCCAGTCTGATGGGGGAGACGTGTCTGCAGCTGTGTCCACACAAGCTCTGTACAGTGTGGATGGGAAGGCTCTGGCAGTGTCAGGGTCCAGGAAAAGCTTGTTTTCAGAAGGTGAGATTTTAGCTGAGACGTGAAGGAAGCCAGGAGGCCCAGGTGAGGGGGAGGGCATTCCAAGCATGAGAGACAGCCATTGGGAAGGCACAGGGTCAGGGATGGAGGGTCTGGTCAAGGATCAGCCAGGAGGCTGGTATCCCTGGGTCAGAGAGGAGGAGGCAGGGAGTATGGCATAAGAAGACTGAAAGGGGCTTGGGGCTGGTTTCGTGGTGTCTCCTGTGTTCCAAGGTAACCCAGGATGGAGCCAGGCAAGTACGGTGCAGGTAATTGTCTGAGTCTGAATTTGAACTCAGATCTTCCTGACTCCAGGCCCAGCATTCTGTCCACAGATTCACCAGCTTCCTTTAGCTAGGGGTCGTCTTCTCCACACTCATTTCCCTGATCTCCACCCTGCCCCCCCCAAAAAAGAAAAAAGGGTCATTACAGCATTTGTTAACATTCCCAGGAGGAAAGAGAAGAACTTTGGGGAAGACACATGGACAAGCCATATCTTTGAAGGGAACATGAGGATGTGTTATTTACTATTAAAAAGAAGCTGAAGCTGATAGTGATTCATGATTTCACCCTGAGCATCCTTTTTCCCTTCTGCTTTGTCTGTGGGAATACTTCCCCTGTTTGGGGTGGTCATTACATTTACAGTAAATTAAACAAATAAAGAATCTTGGGCTTCCTTCAAGACTCAGCTGAAATGATCCTTTTCCAGGAAGCTTTTCTGATCCCCAAGCAGCTGGTGCCTTCCCCTGTGAGATTAACATCTTCTACTCACATGGGTCTTTGTAGGCAGCAGGGGGCCAATGGCTAGAGAGCTGGGTCTGGAGTGAGGAAGAACTGAGTTCAGATGCTGCCCTGAACCAAAAGCTGGAGTGCCTTCTTCTTGGAGTAGCAAGGAGGCCACTGTCACTGGATCAATGAGTAGAAGGCAGGAAATCAAGCTTGAAGAAGACCGGAATGTCAGGTGATGTCGAGGTTGTGACGGGCTTTGAGTGCAAGGGAATTTGTATTGGATTCTGAAGTTTGTAGAGTAGAGGAGTCATGTGATCAGACTTGTCATTTAGGAGAATTACTTTGTGGACCAAAGGGAGGCTGCACTGGAGTGGGGGCAGCCTTGAGGCCAGCTGACCCCGCAGCAGGCCATAGCAACAGTCCAAGGGTGAGTCGATGAAAGCCATACCACGGTGGTTGCAGCATCACAGGAGAGAAGGGGGTGTATTTGAGAGAGGTTGCAGGGTACAATTCACAGGCCTTGGCAACTGACTGGATAAGGGGGGGAGAGAAATGGGAGTTGAGAATGACGCCAGGTTGGTGGGAGTATGACATTGCCTTTGGCACTAAGAGGGAAGGTGATAAGTTCTCTTTTGGATGGGGTGAGTTTAGGAGACTGGCCATCATGTTGGAGAGTCTGAAAGGAGGCAGCAGCAGAGCTGGCTCAGCCTGAATGGCTGTAGTTGTGAAAGGACAGTAAGGCCAAGGTGCTGAGATGAGAGTTGGGTGGTCACCAGTGTGCTGAGTGAAAGTAAAATGACAGAAACAAAGGTTTGGTCTTCTGAGCATGTTGACTTATTCAGCAATCCATGCCAATTGCCCAAGAAACCGGGACAGACCTCCTCACCTTAGGCCTGAACACAGGGGGAGACAGATGTTTATACATTAAAGCTATTAATCGAATAAGGCCAATTAATTAAAAGGAAACAGTACAATATTAGGGAACCTGATTTATAGTTGGATGAAGTATTAGGAACTTTCCAAGTTGGGAGTGGGAGACTGAACTTCTAAAATTCCCTGAAATCAGAAAAAGAAGTCTCCCCCTCCCTTCCAGTATCTGTGAACAATCAGAGGAACGTGAAAGCAATAACTAATTGAGTGCGGGTTGCATGAGATGTACAGTTGTAAGAAAGCTCATTGCATCGGTCTTTGGGTCTGACTGGTTTCTGGTCAGCATAACTGAGGTCCTTGGTTAAGAGTCTCTAAGCAGCACGGAGACGGATCCAGCTTCCCGCTGTGCATGGCAAGGCCACAATTGAATCAAGGTTTTTTCACAAGACAGAAGTTGGCCCAGGCCCATAATTGAATAGAAAGGAAACTGAATTAGCTCCAGAACTGAGTCACAAGATGGGGCAGTGTGGGTCGCTCAATTCCCACAATTAACCGCTTGCTCGCCTAATCCCCTCAATTCCCTCAATAGTCAATCAATATTTATTAAGCACCTACTATGTACCAGGCCCAGTGGTAAGGCCTGGGAATTCAAATATAAAAAGTGACAGTCCCTGCCCTCAAGGAGCTTACAATCTAATGCAGAACACAACATCCAGCAGGAAGGGGACAAATGGAGAGGGATGGCAGAAGGTCCCAGACTCCTGGGCACAGTGGAGAAGTCAATCAGATCGTGCAGCCGTGTCAGAAATGAGACGGACCAGCTGGGCCCTGGCCTTAAATGAAAGTTCACGGCCCCACCCTGTGATCTGAGAGGCAGAGGGTGGTGATGACGTGCCATACCAAGATGGTCCAGGATGAGGAAGTTATCCCAATAATAAGCTTCTTGGTGCACGGTAGAGAAATCAGTCAGAGATGTCCCAAAGGCAGGGCAGCCTTGTGAGAAGCGAGGAGATGTGTGAGCTGAGCACTCTGCTTAAATGGAGGCTTGGAGTTCATGGAGGTGAAGGATGGATGTGGGAGGATGGAGAAGGAAAAGAAGCTTAGAAGTTTCTGTTGGGAGTGAGTTAGGTAACCAGTTATCAATCAACAAAAGACTGCTTTCCTCCAGTGAGAGCCCACACTGTGAAGAAATGCTGTGAAATGAAGAGCAGTGACTCAAGAGACAGGGCAGCTAGGTGGTGCAGTGGATAGAGCACAGGGCTTGGAATCGGGAAGACTCCTCTTCACGCGTTTAAATCTGGCCTCAGACACTTAGTAGCTGTGTGACACTGGGCAAATCACTTAAACCCTGTTTGCCTCAGTCTCCTCATCTGTAAAATGAGTTGGAGAAGGAAACAGCAAACCAGTATCTTTGCCGTGGAAATCCTAAATGGGATCGTGGAGAGACATAACAGAAGTGACTCAACAGCACAAAAAAAGACTCGAGGGGCTCTAGTGAAAAGGAAGGGTGTGTGGCAGCTGGGGAATCTTAAAAAGTGGAAAAAAGAGCGATCGATTCCTTCACTGATTGGATTCCTTAATCAACATAGATTCTAAAGAGAGCATCAACTTGCTATTTTAAAGAAATAAAAATGATGACAATATCTATAATGGAGATGGAAGAAAGCGAGATGGAAAACCATGATATTGCTAGCACATTGGACAACCATGTGTTCTGCAGGCACAAGGCAGGAGAAATAGATGCAACGTCCCATGGATCGGCGTGTTTTCAGACCTGGTCCAGCTGTGCTGTGTGCTGTTCATCAGTCTGCTGCAAAACATTCTCTTGACCCTTGCCAAATTCCAGATGGGGGTCAGCTCAGATCCTTTATTGCTCCTAAGGAAGAAACTGGCAATGTCTTTCTTACGGATTAGATCAAACCCCAACCTTGGTTAATAAAATATTACCTTTATAGTAAATAAAGGAAACCTCCTTTCCCCTTCTTGGTAACTCATTTCTTTATAACTAAATGTCACAAAGAACAAACATATGCCATTAATAAATGAAAGCAAAGGCATGAGATGTTTTGGCCATGAAACATCATACCCAGAGCCACCTCAAGCCCTCAGTACAATTGATGGCTCTTTTTCCCTTTACTGGAAATAGTCTTATACTGTTCAGTTTAGTCCAGATTGTGATTAATATCTCCTAAGAATCCTCTTCATGGTTTCATCTGGATAAGACTATTTTAGCTCCTCAGGAAATAAACTAGATCTTTTCTTTTTCTTTATGCTCTTTTCAGGGATCACAGGAAACCCCCCACAACCTATCCCCCCACCCCAAGAATACATAGTCCCTGCGAGTATTTCCCCAACACTTCATGGAATTTTCTTTATGACATATCACTTCTGCCTGTTCTGAAGAGGGAGAAATTTCCCTTCACCTTGTCTCCTTCTCCTCCAGAGATCCTCGTGTATCTCTGATAGATCACATAACTTCTCTGATTCCATAGGGAGAAGCAGTTCATAGCAGCACATTTCTCAACTTTCTTCCAACTGCAAATATCAAAAGCTGTTCTCCAATTCCATTGATCTTTCACGATGATTGCTCTAAGTGTTGGCTCTGACAGTCGTAAAGGGTGTGACCTTTGGGCAAACCCCCTCTCTGTGCTCCGGTTTCCCCCTGTAAATTGATGGGCATTGGACTCGATGAAGTCTGGAGTCTCTTTCAGCTCTAAATCCTATGACTTTTGATGGTTTAGGAGCTGGTGACATTCCAGGATGTGGCCGTGGACTTCACCCAGGAGGAGTGGGGCCTCTTGGACCATCCTCAGAAGGAGTTGTACAAGGAGGTCATGCTGGAGAATGCCCGGAATGCTCTCTCCCTGGGTAAGGACACTTCCTCTGGAGCTTTGAATTCACCATCCAAGGAACTGCCTTCATTCCCTCCCTCATATACAGGGTTTGGAGTATTTATCAATGATTGGAAAGGCCAAAATGCAGATCTCTTTTGTCCAAGAGACAGGGTCCTCCTGCTGCCTGGTTTCCAGTAAGAGGTCTTTGCACTGTGTAACAGGGAGCTGGGGGTGTCCTCTGTTGCCCCTGAAGCTGCCTCTTACTGGCTGTGGGGAGCCTGAGGTCAAAGATCAAACCAGTGTTGAAGAATCTCAGACTTGGAAGTGATCCCAAAGGTTGTATGTAGTCTAAACTCTCCCTGAACCTGAATTTTCTCTGCCAGATTTCTGAAAACTGCCCCTCAGCTTTTCCTTGGAGATGGGCAGTGAAGGAAGCCCCAACCTCCCAAAGCAGCCTCTTCCCCTTTGGGTCAGGTCTTTGGAAGGCACTTCTTGTCAACAAGCACGAATGTGTAGCTCACGGCTCCTAGTCTTACTCTCAGAAGCCTGGTATACCAGGTGTGTCCTTGTTCTTCCTTCCTGCTTCCTCAAAATTCCAGCACAAATGGTGGGAAAGGAAGGGAAGGGAATAAGCACCTACTGTGTGCCAGCACTGTGCCCAAAAACATTATTTAATTTGATCCTCAGAACAAGCCTGTGAGTTAGAGGATTTTATTGTCCCCATTTTACAGCTGAGGAAACTGAGGCAAGCAGAGGTTAAGGGAGTTGCCTTGGAACTTTGCTAATAAGTGTCTGAGACACAGAGCTTCCTGAATCTAGGACAAAGGCTCTCTGCATTGCTTCATAATTTCTAGATAATGGAATCTCTGGATTCAGCCCATCCTTCCCTGAAGGAAATGGAAAAAACAGAATTTTCTGATTCCAAACTGGCTTCCAAATGATCTCCTTCCCATCTTCCCATCCACCTCAAGGTTCTTGAGACGTCCTGGGAACCCCCCTTTGACCCTTCCTGCATGCCCCCTTTCCCTAGAGAGAGCTAAGTGCTCTCCATCCTCATGCCTTCCTTATCCCCATGCCAGGACTTCCAGTTCCCAGGGAAGGTTTGATCTCCCATTTTGGACAAAGGGAAGCACCTTGGATGATGGAGCTAGAAGACCCCAGAACCTCTTATCCAGGTGAGTGAGAGGAAAGCAGGTCTGCGAGGGCTGTTATCACAAGAGGTGGCTCCATGACACAGTGAGGGCAGTACTAGACTTGGGGGCAGGACGACCTAATTTGCAATTGCTTTTCAGACACTTTTTAGCAGTGGAATCCTGGGCAAGTCACTGAGCCTCTGACCCTCAGTTTCCCCATCTTTGAAAGGAAGGGGTTGGACTCCATGGCCTTTCACTTCTCTTCTAGTGATAAAAGTATGAGTCTGTAATATCCATTGTTTGGAGCTCTGGATCATGGAACTCTCCTGAAGGTTTCCAGAAAGGGACTGAGCTGCCTGATACAAGCTCTTTCCTAGCCTTTATTCAAGTCAACAAGCCTTTATTAAGTGCCTACTATGTGCCAGGCCTCCTGCTAAGTTCCAAGGATTCAGAGAATGGTGAGGGATATCCTCGGTTGTTAAGGAGCTCACAGACAGTGGGGAGAGACAGCATGGACAGAGCTATGTAAAACATGCCCCATACAGGTTAGATGGAGCTAGTCAAGGGAGGAAAGGCCCTTAGACTAAGGAGGGTTGGAAAAGCCTCATTGTGGATGATGGGCTTTGGCTGGGGCTTCAGAGAAGCCAGGGCTAGCATTCTAGGCATGAGAGGAAGCCCTGGAAAGCCTATGGAGACTGGAGATGGTGTGTCCTGTTCCAGGCATAGAAGGGAGGCCTTTGCTACTGGATTATATGTGGAGGGGGAGTAAGATGAAAGAAGACTGGGAAAGGGAGGAGAAGAGCAGATGATGAAGGCCTCTAAGCCCAGCAGAGGATTTTAGGTCATCCTGGTGCTTATGTGAGCCTTAGGAAGATGAACTTGACAGCTGGGTAGAGGATTGACTGATCTAGGGAGACCCTTGAGGCAGTGAGATCAAACAGCAGGCTTTTTCAATACCACAGGTGTGAGGCAATTGGGGTCTGAACCTAGAAGGTGGCAGTGTTGGGAGAGAAGGGGGTGGGGGGATGTATGTAAGAGATGTTACAAAGGTGGAATCCACAGGACTTTCCAAAAGATTGAAGATGGAGGGGGGATGATGGTATGAGTGTGAGAGATGGTGAGCAGTGGATGACACCTCTTTTATGAGCCCGGACAATCAGGAGGGGGACCTGGATAGTGTTAGGAAAGTAGGAAGATGGGAGGGTTGGAGGAAAGATAACGAGGTTAGTTTTGGACATGGCAGGAGAAGAACCCAAAGAAAAGAGTGTCACCAAAACCTACGGTGAAGAGAGTATCAAGGAAAAGAGGATGAATGATGGTGTCGAAAGCTGCAGAGAGGTCCAGAAGGATGAGGATTGGGAAAAGGCCTTTTGGCGTAGCCATCAGGAGATCACTGGCAACTTTGGAGAGAGGCATTTCAATTGACTAGTGAAGTTGGGAGCCAGAATCCAGAGGGGTTTTTTTGGGTTTTTTTTATTTATTACTTAATTTATTTTTAGTTTTCAACATTCACTTCCATAAGATTTTGAGTTTTAATTTTTCTCCCCCTCCCTTCCCACCTCACTCCCTAAGTTGGCGTGTAATCTGATATAGGTTCTACTTACACATTCATATTAAGCATATTTTCACATTAGTTGTGTTGTAAAGAAAAATTAGAACTAATGGGAGGCACCATGAGAAAGAAGAAACAAAACAAAACAACAAAAGAAAAGGAGAGCAAATAGTCTGCTTCCATTTGCATTCAGACTTCATATTTCTTTTTCTGGATGTGGATAGCATTTTCCCTCATGAGTCTTTTGGAGTTGTCTTAGAGCCTTGCATTGCTGAGAAGAGCTAAGTCTACCAAAGTCAGTCGTCATACAACGTGGCTGTTACTGTGTACAACGTTCTCCTCGTTCTGCTCACTTCGCTCAGCATCAGTCCATACGAGTCTTTCCAGGTTTTTCTGAAGCTTTAATTTCTTCCTCTGAAAACTGGCTGTTCATGTCCTTTCACCACCTATCAACTGGGGAATGACTTGTATTCTTATAAATTTGACTCTGTTCTGTATATATTTAGAAATGAGGCCTTTATCAGAGACACTGGCTGTAAAAATTGTTTCCCAGCTTTCTGCTTCCCTTCTAATCTTGGCTGCGTTGGCCTTGTGTGAAACCTTTTCAATTTAATGTGATCAAAGTCATCCATTTTGCATTTCATAATGTTCTCTGCCTCTTGTTGGAATTGCCCATCATTTGGGGAATGGCTGAAGAAGTTACGGTATATGAATGTAATGGGAGGTAGAGATTCCCAGGTGCCCCATAGCAGGAGACCCTCCAGCAGCCTTTGGGATCTCCAGTATTTGGTCGGGCCGGGTCCCATCCACATGAAGGCCAGAGAAAGGTAGCTTCTTGTAAGTTATAAGGTGAAAGAAGGAGACATAAAGCAGGACTGAGGCCAGAACCTGCATGTGACCAAAGAAGAAAGACTAGATTCCAGGGATTGAGGTAGAGGCTAGAATCTTAAATCAGCCCTGGGCCAAGACAGTCCATCAGTGAACGTTCCTTCAATGCCTACTGTGTTCTAGGCACTGTGCCAAGCTCTGGGGATACAAAGAAAGGCAAAAGAGAATCCCTGTTGTCAGGGAGCTGAAAATCTAGTATAAAAACATGAAGATGGTTTGAGAAGAAGCAGATCATCAGCCTCAATCTTAGCTGATCCAGGCAAGAGAGAGGATTTTGGTGAGAAAACATATTACATCCAACAAGGACATAAGTCAATACAAGGAGAGAGGAGATTGGCAGCTCAAAAAGGAGGGCAGAGTTGAGGAGAAAATAGTCAAAGTTATAATAATAGCTAACAATTATATAGGGCCTCATCTGTGCTAAAACTCTAAAATATAATCTCATTTGATTCTCATGAGAATCCTAGGAAGTAGGGGCTATTATTATCCTCATTTTACAGATAAGGAAACTGAGGCAAACCGACACACTGTGACTTGCCCAGGGTCACATTTATTGTAAGTTTCTGAGGTGGCTTTGGAACTCAGGTCTTCTTGACTTCAGTCCCAGCTCTCTATCTATTGTGCCACCAGCTGCGTTTTGGTTTATAACTAGGATGCAGTGAGAATGTTCCTTCACACATGAATGAGGTAGGACATGGGAGGAGTAGTTTACCAGTTATCTTGCTGAAAGTTGGAAATTTTCTATTTTTAGCTCAATCCCATCAACAAAATGAACAACACAAATTGTTAGGTAATTCAGGAAAGATATGGTTTTCTATTGGTTGATGACAAATGTGCTCAAAGGTCAATTACATGTATTGCTTTTTTTAAACAAATAATGTTTATATGTTAAAAAACCACTTTTCTAAGGAAAGATTCTCTTCAGATATAACTTTCTTCTTTCTACCATTGGCACGCTGGCTATAGTCTCACAAAAACTCTTCTGAAGGATTGACCCATGGTGCCAGCCAATTCCTTTGGAAATCTGCTTGATTGAAGAGTATTAACATAAGTATAGGACAAGTCCAAATCAGAAAATATCCTGAAGACTCTAGTGAGAGCCAAGGTAAGGACTGCCAATATAAGAACGGCCGTGATGGCCCATGATGGTTTCAAGATGGCTTGTAATGTGTTCATGGTTTCCAAAGAGCCTGCCATCTGTGCAGAGATGTAACCCTGCTGATGAGATGTGCTTACAAGGTCACCTGCGAATGAAGGAACCACTCTGGTGCAGTGACAGTAAGAAAGTGACCATCTGTGGGAATCGATTTGCAGTTGGATTTCAGACCTTTCTGGCTGTTGGGGAAGAATCTGAAAGACCACATTGCACTCAGTCGGAGGTGGTCAGGGTTTGATGTGATCACTGCATGAACTTGCAGAGAACTGGATGCCTGATCACAAACTATTGTGCTGGAAACATGTACGTGCTGGTCACCCCAGAGGAAAATGTTGATATGTTTACATTTAATTTATTTTTATTTCAAAATATTTATAACAAAATTGGCCAATTATTTTCTACTAAAGGATTTTTCACTCAAACCCCTTAGACCATTATTATGAAGCCCCAAACGGTTCATCAACCACAAAATGGCAAGGGCTGCAATAGGCCCAATAGTAAGGCATGCTGTCTACTTCCTGAAAAAAAGGATGGCAGACTCAAGGCCCAGTATAAGATATATTATTTTTGGATAGCAAGTGGTTAGATTTTTTAAAAATCGTGTTTGTTACAAGGATTTTGAGCTTTTTTAAAATTAAGGAGCAGAAGCATTCAAAGATAAATTTTTTTTAAATGGATAATGGTTATCCTAAGAGGGTGATGGGTCATAATGGAATATAGCATGCCTCAGATGAATAGAAAAAACAAGGTTGGCCATCATGATGTGGTCTTAGACGTGAGAAGAGAAAAAATGAAAAGGATCACTGGGGAAATTAAACTATGCCTATAGACACCATAGGTGATGAAATAATATGAATATTTAGTATATGTTCCAGAGATGGCAAATCTATGGATCTGAATACAATATAAGAAAAGCTGGATGTAATATTGAAAATTCTGTTGAATTCTATTGACTATTGCTCAGCTTAGCATATGAAATTCACAAAGAATGACTGTGATGATGCATCAGAACTGGTCAAAATGGAGAAAGAGATAGAGCCATGACCCAATAATAAGTATAGTCAACCAGTGGTATTTGACAAAAGAATTGAAAGAGTATGGAGGTCCTGCAAAGGAATGGGGAGAGGGGGGAGGCTGGGCGGGGCTGGCAGTCGCATGCCTCTTGGGAACGTGGGGTCCTTGTTTCGTCAGGTCTGTAGAGGTATGGCGTCCACGCTGGTTGGTAGTGTTTCGATGGAGACCAGAGCTAACATCCACTAGTGGGAGAAGACAAGGGTCTCAGGAGCCCCTCCCCTGAGATTTCCTGCCCCCTCCTCTCAGTGTCCTGCTGGATATGTAGCATCCATGCCCATGGCTGGCTGCACACCCCAAACTTAGGCAGCTTGTCTGAGTGTCCTGAGTACCGGATATGATTGGGAGAGGACATGCATTCAAATCCTGCCACTGCCACTTAGGAGCTGTGTACCTTATCTGAGCCTCGGGCAAAGATCTAAGACTTCTCTACTTAAAGGCTTCCTTACACCAAAAGTTTGGCACCTACAGTCATGCAGACAACCAGAATCTTAACCTCTGGGAAGCCCCCAAAAGATGCCGACACAGCCACTGAAGGGCGATGACTTAGAGGGATGTACAGTCATTAGGAAGGGAAATACTTGCCAGAAGTCTGGGTTGGACCTGATTGGCTCAGGGCTCATTGCCTGGTGCTGGTACTTGGCGCTGATCGCCTTCCATTCCAGGCTGAGATAGTGGTCCACTCCCTACAACTAGGGAACTTAGTGATGCCTTGTCCTAGAAACTATTTTTCTAACAGTTGAGTACAAACTTGTAATCACCATTTTTAATAAGCACAATTAAATTAACTACAGAATGTGGCAAGAATCAAAGCTTTAGCAAACCCAACAAATTTGGATTTCAAAAGTGTCTGAACTCAAACAAATTAATTCTTTACAGTGCATTTCTCATACTGTTCATTAACTCATAGTTGTGCAGCAATGCCCCTAAAATGGTATTACAGACGTGCCAAGCATACTACTTACACCAAGCACTCGTTAAAACTGCTGCTTACACCATGGTTTGTATGCACACTTATAAATACAACAAGTGTACATTCAATAATAAAATAGTTTCTAGTACTGTGAACAGAGCATGCCCAGTCACAGGGTTTGAGTTTTCATCTCCCCTGCAGGGAGGGATGTTGGTCAGGTCCCTCTGTCATTATTAGTTCATGGCCTGAATTGGGAATATGATGAGAATGCTGGTCCTGTCTGTGTTGCACATTTATTGTGAGAGTCCAATGGTATTGTATGTGAAGCTCTTTGCAAATTAAGTTATCCTGAGAATGTGAACTAATGGCATTTCCAAATGATTGATTCTGCCCATTTAATTTTGAAGACTTCTTTTAAGTCAGTTAACTTTCTCTCAATGGAGGGAAGAAGATATATTTGTGTATATGTGTATGTGTCACTATATATATTTCTTTCTTTGTTTCCGTCAGATGGAGAAACAAGATTTGAAATGAGGAAGGCTGCTGCCAAGCTGAGTATTTCTATGAAAGAATCACGACAGCCCAGATTCATGAAAAATGGTCACTGTGACTTCAGTTCGAGAGAAATCTGTTACTCTGATATCAAGATCGAGAAAAAACTGAAGAATCACTGTGAATTTGATAAAGCTGAAAACAGCTTCAGACAATATTCAGACAATATTCACTGTAAGAAAATGACCTCAGGGAATGACTGTTCTCAGGATGGTAGATGTAGGGAATGCTCTACTGGACAGATACACGTTGCTGAGTCTCATGAGAAGCCTCCTGAAGTGCAAACTTACCAATGTGAGATGGCCTTCAGCTTGAATTCAGACCTAATTAGATCTCAGAAAAGTCATACTGGAGAAATGTTTTCTATCTATAATGAAGGTGAGAAGGCCTTCAGTCATAATGCAAAGCTCACTGGCCATCAGAAAATTCAAAATGGAAAAAAATATTATGGATGTAATGAATGTGGTAAAGCCTTTATGCGACAGTCATCCCTTACTTCCCATCAGAGAATTCATACTAAAGAGAATTCTCATGAGTGTCATGAAGGTGGTAAAACTTTCAGTGAAACCTCATCCCTTATTTTACATCAGAGAAGACACACTGGAAAGAAACTTTATGAATGTAATCATTGCAGAAAAACTTTCAAACAAAAGTCCAGTCTTGCTGAACATCAGAGAATCCACACTGGAGAGAAACCTTATGAGTGTAATCAATGTGGAAAGACTTTCAGACACAGCTCTAGTCTTGCTGAACATCAGAGAATCCACACTGGAGAAAAACCTTATGAATGTCATCAGTGTGGAAAGAGCTTCAGACAGAGCTCCAATCTTGCTGAACACAAGAGAATCCACACTGGAGAGAAACCTTATGAATGTAATCAGTGTGGAAAGAGTTTCAGACACAGCTCAAGTCTTGCTAATCATCAGAAAATCCACACTGGCGAGAAACCTTATGAATGTAATCAGTGTGGAAAGACTTTCAGGTGCAACTCCAAACTTGCTCTACATCAGAGAATCCACACTGGAGAGAAACTTTATGAATGTAGCCAGTGTGGAAAGACTTTCACAAACACCTCCCATCTTGCTCTACACCAAAGAGTTCACACTGGAGAGAAACCTTATGAATGTAATCAGTGTGGAAAGGCTTTCACACAGAGCTCAAGTCTTGCTAAACACCAGAGAATCCACACTGGAGAGAAACCTTATAAATGTAACCAATGTGGAAAAAGTTTCAGACAGAGCTCCAATCTTGCTGAACATAAGAGAATTCACACTGGAGAGAAACCTTATGAGTGTAATCAATGTGGAAAGACTTTCAGCTTCAACTCCAAACTTGCTCTCCATCAAAGAATCCACACTGGAGAGAAGCCTTATGAATGTAATCAATGTGGAAAAGCTTTCAGACTCAGCTCCCATCTTGTTCTACATCAGAGAATCCACACTGGAGAGAAACCTTATGGATGCAATCAATGTGGTAAAACCTTCCGGCAACAGTCATCCCTGATTTCCCATAGAAGAATTCATAATAGATAGAAATCTCTCACTGTACTGAATGAGGAAAGGCATTCAAATGGAGTACAGAGCTGGTTAGACATCAGAAGGTGCATTCTGGGGACAAGTTCTATGTAGACTCAGCGTGGGAAGACCTTCAGTCAGAGAGCTTATCTTACTTTGTATCAGAGGATTCGTAGTGGAGGAAAACTAGGAATATGCTCAGTGGTGACATGCATATTGCTGAAGATGAAGAAATGTATTACATTTAATAATAAATGTTATAATAAATATGATAGAATGGGCTCATTTTATTTCATGGTTGTGAATTTTAAAATAAAAAATCAAATATTGATAGTTTTCTTTTTGTCCTTTTTGCCAATTTTGAAGGTATTCTCTCTCTTGGATGTAATGGTTTTAGTGTTCATTTCTGATGAACATTTGATATAACTGAGGCCAACCAACAGAAGAAAGGCCTTAGAATTAAGGGGGATAGGGAAAGGCTTCCTGGAGAAGTTGGGATTTTAGCTGAGACTTAAAGGAAGCCAGGGAAGACAGGACGTGTGAGGATGAAGAGGACAGCCAAGCATGGGGGCTGGCATGGGGGGATGGGGAGCGGAGGAGGACCAGGCAGGAGGGATGATAAGATCCAGGCAGGGGGGATAGCATGGGGGATGAGCAGAGCCAGGCAGGGGGGGATGAGGAGAGCCAGGCAGGGGGGATGGCACAGGGGATGAGGACAGCCAGGCATGGGGAATGGCATGAGGGATGAGGAGAGCCAGGCAGGGGGGATGGCATGGGGGATGAGGAGAGCCAGGCAGGGGGGATGAGGAGAGCCACACATGGGGGATGGCACAGGGGATGAGGACAGCCAGGCAGGGGGAATGGCATGAGGGATGAGGAGAGCCAGGCAGGGGGATAAGGAGAGCCAGGCAGGGGGATGGCACAGGGGATGAGGAGAGCCAGGCAGGGGGGACAAGGAGAGCCAGGCGGGGGGACGAGGAGAGCCAGGCGGGGGGACGAGGAGAGCCAGGCAGGGAGGATGAGGAGAGCCACACATGGGGGATGGCACAGGGGATGAGGACAGCCAGGCAGGGGGGATGGCATGGGGGATGAGGACAGCCAGGCATGGGGGATGAGGAGAGCCAGGCATGGGGGATGGCCAGAGGGAATGCCTGGAGTTGGGAGATGGAGGATGCTGTGTGAGAAACAGCCAGGAGCCCAGGGTCACTGGATCCAAAACTATATTATGAGGCAGTGTACAGTGCACCAGGACTGGAAAGGATGAGAGCAATGGGCTTTGAATACCCAATAGAAGATTGTCTATTTGCTCCTGGAGGCAATTGGGGGGGGCACTGCAGTTTGCCGAGTAGGGGGTGACAGTCATATTTGTGTTTTAGGAAGATCACTTTGACAACTAAATGGAGGACGGACTGGAGGTGCAGACCTCCCAGCAGCTACTGCCATGGTCCAGATGGGAGGTGATGAGGGTCTGCCCTGGGGTGGGGGCTGAGTCAGAGGAGAGAAGGGGGATATTGCAGAGATGCTGCTGAGGGGAAGTCACCAGGCCTGGACAAGAGGCTGGACTTTGGGGGTGGGAAGAGCCAAAGATAAATGAGTAGGAGTCAAGCAGACACCTAGGCTGTGAGCCTGGGCAAATGGGGCGGCGGTGGTAATAGGGAAGTTTAGAAGAGGGAGCATTGAGGGGAAAGATAGTGAGGTCAGTCTTGGACGTGTTGAGTTTAAGATGGCTACGTTGGAGACGTCCAAGAGGCACCTAAGGGATGTGAGACTGGAGGTCAGCAGAGAGGGAAGAACCCGATGGGGTGATCTGGGAATGCTCAGCAGAGAGATGATCACTGATCGGTGGGAGCTGATGAGATCCCCAGGTGAAGTGGAAGAGGGAGAAGAGGATCCAGAGCAGAGCGGGGTGGGACATCCCTGGTCACAGACTTAGTGGGTGTGACCTAAAGACCAGGCAGAGGACGTGGAGGACGAGTCAGACCGTAGAAGTGCGAGAGGAGGAGGATGGACAGTCACAGGCTGCAGAGGGGGAAAGAAGGAAGAGCCGTTAGTGACCTGGGGGAGCAGCAGCAAGAATGCAGCCCCCTCCCTGCCACCCTTGCTCCCTGTAGGACACAGCTCAGGTCCCCCTCCTGGAGGTCTCTCCCTGTCACCCCAGGCATCCACGCCATCCCCCCTGAGATAACCTCCCTCTATAGACACACACAGAGATGCACACCCAAACACATCTCTCTCTCACACACACATATCCATTTCCATGAGGCGTTCCCTGTTAGAATGGGAGCTCCTGAGTGAGGCCAGGCAGTCTTTTGCCCTTTTTGGCATTGCTCTAGCTTAGCCTGGCACCTTCCTACAGTAGGCACTTCCTACACTTTTGCGGATGCACACAGTAGGCACCTCATGCACTTTTGCCGACTACCGCAGGAGCACGTGAGCAGCCAGGGGTCCCAGCCCTCAGAATCAAAGCAGGCTGGGGACTTGGCTTCCTTGGGAACAGACCCCATCCCTGGGAAGGCTCCCTGAGAGTAACAACACTGGGGGAAAGCGGGTGGGGTCTGGAGTCTGGAGAACGAATGAATCTTAGAAGTAGCCACGGAGCATCCCCTCCCTCTCTGCCCACCCCTCAGCCTGCCTCCAAACTCCGGAGGGGACCAGAGTCCAGCCCGACACCCCCAGACCCTCAGCAGGGGTCAGTAAGGGAGAGCAGAGGTCTGGTGGTCAGGGGCAGGGGGACAGAAGCCCCGGATGCTGGCTGGGTCAGAGGTGGGGGTGGGGGACAGCGGAGACCCCCGGGGGAAGGGGAACGTCAAGACCTCCTGGTAGGTGCTGGAGGGCATGGAAGACAGAATAGGGGGCGCAGAACCCGCTTTGGGGGGCTGAGCCAGGGCCAGGCTAGGGGGAGGGGAGGCACGATGGGGGAGCAGGGCTGCCTCGGTCCAGACGTGGGGGCGGGGGAGGGGCCGGACGTCTGCTGTCGGTGGGGGAAGGGAGCGGGACTCTGGAGATCTGGGGGGGATTGGGGTGGGGGGCGCGGGCTCCTGGGTTCCAGCGGAGGGGGGCAGGATAGGGAAGGCGCAGTGGGAACGGTAATGTCCGGGGGTGGGGGTGGGAGCCACAGGGCTCCCGCGGCCCAAAGGAGGGGGAGGGACTCGAGACGCCCGGGTCCGGGGGCCAGGCGGGGGGCCCTCAAGACTCCCGGTCCCGGGGAGTAGGGGGGTCAGGTCTCTACGATCCCGTGGCTCTTTTGGTTGGGGGGGAACTCTAGACTAGTAAAAATGAGGCAGCCACGAAAGGGGCGGCGGGGGGAGCGCACAGAGAAAACGGAAACGGAGCCAGCGCGGAGCCTTCTGGGAAATGTAGTCCCCCGAGGCCGCGCATGCCCAGGAGCGAAGGCTGCGGTAGAAGGGGCGGGGCTGCCAGAAGGCTCCTGGGGTGGGAGGTACCCCGCCCTGCCCCGCCCCGCCCTTCCCTTTCAGGGTCCTCAGCCCCTGGAGCGTCTGCCCTCCATCGTGCGACGCCGGACACCCCAGT